ATTCATCCAAATTAGGCCTTAACATGCTTGAATTGCATGAATTATGTTCTCCAAAGCCATCATTGTTACCTAAAGCTCAATTAACTGAAAGATAAACACAAAAAGGATTAAAAGCACAAGTTTAACTCAAAAACATAACCAAATCATAAGCTAGAAGGGTAAGAAATAATATACAATTATGAACCGATCACTGCTCACGTACAATCCAACATTCCAGTTTCGGTTAACAATTCCAACACGTATTTTCGTTGAGATAGAAATATGCCATGTTTTGATCTAGCAACTTCTATGCCAAGAAAGTACTGTAACTCACTTAATTCTTTCATCTCAAATTCACTTGCAATGAGCTTTTGTATATTATTCATCTCTTCACTATCATCACCGGTAATAACCATATCATCAATATAGATTATTAAAGTTGTAAATTTACCACCACGAAGCTTCAAGAATAAGGTGTGGTTTGAGTTGCTCTGAGTGTATCCAAAACGCTTCATGGAATTAGTGAATCTCTCAAACCAGGCTCGCGGTGATTACTTCAACACATATAATGACTTTCTCAGTTTGCACACTGTATTGGAAGTGGATGTCAAAGGAATCCTTAATGGTGGATCCATATACACTTCTTCCTGTAAATCTCTATGAAGAAATGCATTCTTTACATCATACTACAGTAGTGGCCAATCCATATTTACAGCTAAAGAAAGGAGAACACGGATAGTGTTGATCTTGGCAACAGGTGCAAACGTCTCCTGGTAGTCGATCCCATAAGTTTGTATATATTCCTTAGCCACTAATCTAGCTTTGTATTGATCTATGGAGCCATCATATTTGTATATAACAGTGAATATCCAGCGACATCCAACCGATTTCTTCCCTTTTGGTAGAGACATCATTTCCCAACTGGAATTCTTATTTAGAGCTTCCATTTCAATTGTCATAGCTTCTGTCACAACATCCTGCCACTTACTTGGAACACATACAATAGACAATTGATTGACAAAAGATGCATATGACTTTGACAATTTATAAGTAGACACATGATTATTAATAGGATATTTTGATTTAGCATTAAGGTCAGGACAGTATTGAAGATTAGGTTTTACCCTAGTGGAGCTAGGTGGAAATGTATATGGTACAATATTGGGTTGTTCAAAAACTACCTCGAGAGCTTCTTCATCACAAGACGATTGAGAAGATGGTAGGGCATGAGGGGTTGTATTTTCCAGTTGCCCTTCGGAGACATCATGAGTCACTTCTGGCACCAAATCCTCATCGGGGTCTTCTCTATTTGAAGATGACCGGTAGACGGGAACATGTTGATCGATCGACTGTCGTAATTTTTCCTTGCCTTCTTCAAAGCACAAGTTCTTCTCTTCACTCCTCCTCTCCCCTTGAAGAGAAGGGCTTGTATGAGCCACAAAGTAGGATAAGTCTTTATGGAAGGTGACATCCATAATGACTAAGAGCTTCTGGGTAGAGGGGTGGTAACATGTGTATCCTTTTTTATTTAACCCATAACCAACAAACACACAACGAATGGCACAAAGATCCAACTTACTCTACTGATGAGAAGGAACATGGGCATATACTACACAACCAAACATGCAATAAGGTATCTTGAGGACAGTAGAAAGAGAGATGTAATGAGCCTAGGTGTTTAGTGGAGTCTGAAAGCCTAGAACACTACTAGGCACTCAATTAATCATATAGACCGCAGATAGGATAGCTTGACCTCATAAATAGTGATGAACTGATTTATCAAGCATGAAGGCACGGGCAACCTCAAAACAATTGTCGATTCTTTCGTTCCGCGACACCATTTTGTTGTGGAGTGAACAGGGTGGAAGTCTGGTGAATGATGCCATGATCCCAAAAGAATTAAGCCAAGACATTGTTCACATATTCCTCACCATTATCGGATCGGAAAACCTTGATGGATGCCTGAAACTGAGTGGTGATCATAGCATGAAATTCACAGATAGTAGAGGTAACATCACTTTTATGGGTGAGCAAGTATACCCACGTCATGCGAGTGCAATCATCAATGAAGTTAACAAGCCATCTATTTCCATTGAAATATACTTTAGCAAGGCCCCAAACATCAGAATGAAATTAAGTCAAATGGTTAGGTAGCTTGATGGGTACTTGACGAATTAAGTAGCATGGTGACTTTTCGTTAGGACACATGTTTCACACTTGAATGTAGAATCATCATGATGGCAGAACAACGAGGGAAACAAGGGCTTGAGATAACCAAAGGATGGGTGTCTCAAGCAAGGATGCCGGGGCCGAATTTGTTGGCGGTCAGTTTCACAGGTACTCGGAGCAATGGAATGAGCCTTGGCGGAACTAGGTGGTGGTGGTGTGGGCAATGCCAATGAGTACAAGCCCCCTCCCTATTTACCATAACCAATCGTCTCATGGGTCTGGAGGTCCTGAAATTTGCAATATGTAGGATAGAAAGTAGCATAACAGTTATGTGAGTCAAGTAACTTGCCAACGGTTAATAAGTTGCAATTAATGGAAGGAACAAGGTTTTCGTGAGAGATAATGCAGAGGAAAGGGGGACAAATCCTTCATCAGTGATTGGGGAAGGGACACCATTGGCACTAGTGATAGATGGCGAGATTCAGAGGATAATGAGATAAACAAAGTAGAGTCAAAAGTCATATGATCAGAAATGCATGTATCAATTATCCATGTATTATGAGACTTACCTGGTGGTGGATCATATACAAAAAGGCAGGCAGGTGGTATCATCCTACCAGAACTAGTATGATCCACAAAGAATGTCTTGTTAGAAGCCATGAGTCGAATAGGCACACAGAAGTAAGGCAAAGATGGCAGCAGAAGAAAAAAAAACGCAGCAGCAAAACACCAACAAAGAGTGCTCGGCATGAGCAGATTGTAGTGAAAAACACAGCAGCATAGCACCAACAAAAAATGCACAATTGGAGCAGCAACACAAACACCAGTAGGGGCAATACAAAGGCAATCCAAGGCAAAGACAAAGGAAATAGCACCAGCAAGGCAAAGAACACAGAAATATCCTGTGAACAAAAGGCAAAGCAAAGACAAAGTAAAGCAAGAGCAAGAGGTAGGGACAATATAGAAGCAAAGCAAGGACAAGGTTAAGGGCAAGTTAAGCAGAGACAAGGAAAAAACAAGGTTATGCAGAGATAACAAAAAACTATTACTCTGATAACATGCTAAACAGAGTATTAAAATAGTATCTGAAGAAAGATTTCTTGTTTCAATTTCATTGTATTTCTTTGTATAACTTACAACAGAATTTATATAAGGAGAAAGCTTGCTATTCAAGCTCAATATTAATTACAAGTATGTAGATGGTAGCTGGTCTTGAGCTCCTAAACCTAGAGATTTGCAGTAGAAGCCTCCCAAAGTCAGGCCAACCTAATTAATGCAGCCACCTCATTAATGCAGCCAACCTCATTAATGCTACTAGCTAACAAACTAGCTAACACGCTACGGGTTTGTTTAACCCATTTACTGATCCTGACCTGAGTTAAGGCCGTAGCTAACCGGGGAGATCATCCACCCGGTCAACAATCATCAACATCTTTACAAGAACATATGACTGGATTACAGCAAGTTGAACCTCCTACTATAAACCCAAAGTAATATAATTATCAAGTATAGATAAGCCATATTTTTCTATAAAACATGAAATATATAATGAACTTATTACCACAAAATTGCATTTCTTTACCACAAAAAAAAAAGGAATAAAGACCTTGTAACTTGTGTGTCATGAATGAAAGAATGATGATATTTTGAATATTTAAAGCATTAAAAACTAGTTGAGAAAATAGAAAATTCCACACTACTTTAATCAGCCAATTGATGTGGTACTTTAATGGCATAACCATTAGCAGGCAACAGAGAAGTGAATTGAATATTCTTAATTGTATTTCTTCGTAAAGAATGCGGATTTACTCCGGCCTTGTGAGCTGCAATAACACCAATTGCTTCCCAATAGTTTGAGACCTTGACCTGCATGAAAGGTTCCATTTAATTCAGAAACCAAATGCATATGAGTCGAAGCAATGCCATTTCCTAGTGGGCATGTTGAGAACCAATGAAAGAATTTATTCCTAGTGTTATTTTGATATTAATGATTATGGAGATGGGGAACTAGAGTGGAAGGTGAACTAGAGTGGGTTTTGGAAGTACTTGACTGATAATCTTTACCTTGTGTTAATTAGTTCAGGGACCCAATAATTACTAACAATACTAACAAGGTTCTGACAGTTCTAAAACAGAATAAAGTCACTTAAAATTACGACAGCCATGAAAATGATTCCATTTCTGACGGGGACAAAACAGAAGGTATGTGTAAACATTTGGATACATACCACTTCAACCCCAACTTTATCTGGTGTATCATCAAGGACTGTTTCATTTTCCTCCACAGCAATTATAAGTGGCTGTATCAAAATCGAAATTAGTGTCAGGAACAAGTTATATGCTATCAGTCAAATCTGATCTTTCCAAATTCAACCAAAAGGAAAAATTAGAATAGTTTCCAAGTTTATACCGTGTTTCTTTTGCTTCGTGCAAAAGCAAGAACACCGTCTCCTCCAAAAGCATCTACAGGAAGGATGACGCTATCAACATGACTTGCCAGTATGCAACCATTCTCAGACTCAGAGTTCTTGACCAAATACTGTGGTGCATTACTAAGCCCAGCAAGCACACATGGCAAGAATGTGTATCCCAACTGTTGCACATAGAAAGAGAGAGAGCTATAAAAACATCAAGTAGCAGATATTTGGACATTGTAGTCTATTTGAAGACGAAACGCCACGGATATTGATATTTTATCAGTTAGTTACACCTTTTATCCAAAAACCCTTGTGCCACAGACGCCACACTTAATTTTTCCAAAGACGACTGACGTATTTTATCTTTTCTACTTTTGCCAATGATCCATCAGATATTGTGTCCTAACTCTCAAAGGCAATAAGTTCTGGGTTATGTAAAAATTTACCAACCTCCTCAGCAGCGGATTTTGGGCATAGAGATGGGCTCAGGGGCAAAGATGATAAGGCAGGAGCATGTGCACAAGGAATTTGAAATTCCTTCACCACTAGATGGCTTATAACTGCCTCAACCCCTGCCAATAGATCAATTCCCTGGAAGGTACAAGGTAGAATTAGATGTAAGTTTCATAGAACTGATCAGAACCAAGAACTAAGAATAAACTTTAGTCTTTCTGCTGATGGTACTGTCTGAATCCAAGAGTATAATATCAAAGAAACCAAAACTTTCATATGTAATCTTTTATATCACATCAAGAAGTACATACTAAATATCCATTTTAAAGCCAAGTGTTACAGTAGGGATTGAAACTACTTAGATGCATGGTAAAGTTGCAGTTAAGATCTGAACAATCTGGAAATTTATCATATAAAAAATCAAATGTTAAAAGTTTAACATACCATCCCTTTTCGATAATCATCTGTGTCTTGAACATCATCATCGTCTGGGAAGCGTCCAACAACTGCAACAGCATTTACTTGAGAGCGTTTAAGTAAAGCCTGCACAGCCCTCAATAGTGAATCAGGGTGCTTAATCCTCCCAGTTGATTGCCCACTTTTTGGATCAATCCACTTCTCTACCTGTAAAATTTGTTCCATTCAATCTCGTGCAGTCACATTAGCAGGAAAGTTTCGACCTCCCTTTTATGTGGCCAAGGGGATTCGGAAGCATAAGATTGAGATGAAAAGGGCAGGCTTAGCAGCAAAGAACAGTGAAACAAGGTAGCAACTAAAGCTCTTTCAATAACAAATGTCAAAAACGCTTTGAATACAGAAAGTTTGTTTCAATTACAAATTTGAATGAGTTTTTGAATCGCAGGCTTTTCAAACCCCAGCTTCAAATGAGATTGAAAGGCAGATATGTGATAAAACAATGTGCCTGCCTGGTGATCAGTTTAGAGTTGCTTGACCATTGTCGCATTGCGATAGAAAGTATAAAATCATGCAATTAACTATCACACACACACACACTTAACAACACGATAAATGGAAAACAAACAATCAACTGCTACATTGAACAGCAAAAAGTAATACCTGTAAAGGGGTGTCAGTGACAACATATTCAACCACAGGCAAGCCAAGGGAAGCTCTTGCAGCATCGGCCACCTGTAAATGGCGAACTCGAAGCTGTTCTTCTATTCCAGCATCAAGAACCAAACCCACCTGCATCATAATCTGTGTGAGCAACAATAAATAAATAAACCAAAAATATATATATTGTGAACGCACCCTATTTTGGTGAACAGGCATGAGGCCCCATGAGCCTTCTGCAAAGCGGTCAAGAGCATAACCTTCAACGTATAAAGCATTAGGCATGGGCCAGTAGAGCATTGCTGCATTCAGCACCTGCTCAACAATCAAAGTGAGAGTCAAGCTCGAAGTGGCAGCAGACTCAGAGACTCCAAAAAGAAAGCAAAAACATCGAATTAGGCATACGTTGGGGTGTGTGATAAGGCAATCAACGACGGCGGAGAGAGTGCGAGCCACAGGCAAAGCGTCGCCGGCGTAGCCACCAATGGCGGCTCCTACCCCGGTTGGGACTATCATTACGCTTGTGTAGTCTCTCTTCAACACCGTATCCAAACAAACAGAGCAACACTTAATTAATCCTATGCTTTGCTTTGCTTTCTCACAACATAATCCAACGAAAACGAAGAGTGTTTAGTGGGGGTTACTAACTGACCTTGAAGGAGTGTCTGGGATTGAAGCATGAGATGCTTGGTGGAGTGGACGGTCTGGATTGGGTGATGCGTCGGTTTTGGGCGGCCAACGAGGGGAATGGACGGTTCAGAATGACTGTCATCTCATCTCCTGCCGTCAACGGAACTCGGATGACCGTCTTATTATCCCATTCCCGCTGTGCCTCACTGGCTGTGCGCTCTCCAATTTTATCCGCGAGCTCTTCAATTTTTTGACCCTGCTGCTTGGTATTTTTAGTTATCTTGGATTTTGCTAGTCGTTTTTTTTTTGTTTCTGAACCACAAGGTGGTCTTAGATGGGCCCCAATTATGGGTGGACTAATCTCCACTCACACCTGGTCGGCCCGTAAGGGATAAAATACTGGCCAAAGTAATGACTCCATATGAGAGTAGGGATCGAATCCCTGACCTCTCTTAAGGAATGAGAGTGCCGAACCACTCACACCAACCACCTTAGTTATTTTGCTAGTCGTTTTGAATTTACTAAAAACACTTTACTTTTTTTTATATCGAACAAATATATATGTCATATTATTTTTTAAATTACTTTAAGAGATATTTAGTCATATACTAATTATTGGCACTAATAATATAAACAAACAAACCATACACCATATAATTTCTATAAACAAACCAAAAAAAAAATCCAAAATATGACAGCTAGCCCTATTAAATTTAATTTTGATTATTAAATTGCTTTGATGCTCTATTGAGTGTTTTGGGCTTTTTTTATGAGGTTTTGGGCTTAAGTTTGTTTTAAGAAATCAATGGTAGTATTGTAATTTAAAAGAAGTTTAAAAAAAACCTTTTTGTTATGTTGTAAATGGTTTTTGTATGTGTTTTTAAAATCCATTTCATATATAGTTTTTTTATTATAATTTAGGCTTCTATATTGGGTATAATAGTGAATCTCCATTGTTTTAAAGCAAAAAGTAATATAGTGCTCAAAGACTTTCGAATTTTACAAAATGTGCTATATTGTATATGTTTTATTTTTTTTGTTTTATGATATTTTTTTATTGAGAAAAACGATAATATACTAAACTTATATATACTACACGGATACTAGAACTCGAATGAACAATTACTCCAAACCACTATACTAGTGGATTCTTTGCAAATGTTTCCTTTTATTTTTTACTAACAAAGATTTTCTTTTACATAGCATATTTGAAATATTTTTCTTTTCAGAAAAAAACTGAAAAGTGGATGATGAAAGACAATACAATAATGAATTAAATAATGATTTTCTTTTAAATACAATGGGCCAACAGTCCAAAGTGAGAGAAAACTACACGATACAAATAGCCCAACGTTCACAGAAAAAGCGTGTTAGTAGCGAGTCGCCCGCACATGATTTAGGATTGCGTGAGGAGAACCTTACAAAGGGGGAATAACGTGTGAAGTTGCTAGATGTGGTGAAAATAATAACAATAATTATTATAACAGTCCCGACAGAGGTCCAAGAGATTTATAGTCACTCACCGTTGGATGTAAATTCAACGGTTCACTCACTCTTGCACTCATTTTAAGAAATTTTTTTGAACTATTGGATTAATATCCAACGGTAAGTGACCACAATTTCTTGGACTCCTGTGGTCCAAGAGATCAGGACTAATTATTATAATACTTCCTTTTGAACCAAAGTATCACACTTCTGATCAATTTGCAAACAATGATACAGAACCTACAATGATACAGAACCACCTTGCCTTGCAGCGGAAGTTGCTGATTATTCCAAAGCCTACAATGATACAAAACCACCTGTAATCACTGATTCTTCTATCATACCTACATGATAAAAGTACCCAATGTAATGGAAATCGGCCCGCCTTCTCAACCAGAAATACTTTCATATTCCCATTTCATTATCTTTCTCTCTCGTTTAATAGACAACATAAGAAGAGAAAATGGGACAATGAAATGGGGATAGGAAAGTTTTTCTCTTTCTCAACGGATGACTTTTAAGGGTCTCATCATCGCATTGTCCTCATGATCCAAGATCTGCACAACATAAAACAACAACGTTTCAATTCCATCATCTCAAACTATATCAAGATTGATAATTTCAGCATGGCTTAATATCACAAAACGTCCTTAAGGTTTACGAAACTATCAGATTGCATCCTTAATGTTTTTTGTGTCATTCGTGGTCCTCAAGGTTAGTATGTGTGATCACAAATGGTCCCTGTTAGGTTCCGTCAAAAACTCTGTTAGTTTGCTGACGTGACATATATATATATACTATCACAAATGGTCCTTGTGAATTTTTTTTATTTTTTCATTTCAAATTCATAAAATTTTGGTTTTCTTTTTAAAATTATTTAAAAATATATATTGTATTTTAAATACACGTGACACTATATTTTTGAAGATGTGTTTTCCACATATATGTCACATCAACAAACTAAGATGTGGGTTCCACATATATGCCACATCAACAAACTAATGGAGTTTTAAAAAAAAATTAAAAAAAATTCATAACATTTAAAAATGAAAAAACCAATATTTTATGAATTTTAAATTATTTTTTAAAAATATATATTGTATTTTGAATACACGTGGCACTATATTATTGGAGATGTGGGCTCCACATATATGCCACATGAGCAAACTAAGGGAGTTTTCTAAATTTAGAAATGAAAAACCAAAATCTTAAATGAAAAAACAAAAAATTTATGCACAAAGGTTTTTTCATTTTTAAATTTTATGAATTTAAATGAAAAAACCAAATTTTTTTGCAGGAACCATTTGTGATAGGTGCATGAACTTGAGGTATGTTTTGTGATATATATATATATATATATATGCCACGTCAGCAAACTAACAAAGTTTTTTATGGAACCTAACGGCATGGACCATTTGGTGATCACACATACTAACCTTTTGGATCATGAATGAAAAAAAAAAAAAATATTAAAGATGCAATCTGATAGCTTCATAAACCTTAAGGACGTTTTCAGCATATATAATTATGACGGCTAATAACATTGCTACAACAAATTAAATAGAAGCAAGCACTTCGTACTAGACCCCTTCCCAAGCCATACATCATAATACATGATTTGTGAGTTTGGAATCTCTTGGACTAGACCGCTCAGACTCAGATAGTAGGCACGCTACCCAACAACGTAAACAAACAAAACTATTAGCCTATTTGTTAACCTGGCGAAATTCTATAGTGAGTGTGTCATATATGAACCTTCATATTCGCCACATGATCATTTCATTAAAATTAAGTGAAGTTACCATTTAGATGAATCTTATGACTAATATGAAAGTACGTATCTATGGTCTATATGTTATACCCCACTATAGAATGACTCGTTAACCTATTTCTAGTATTTGGTATCCCCTGACCCTCCATCCAAGCCCAAAAACCTTATTCCAATTTGTCATATTAATTGTTATATGGCTCATATCATGCAATTTTCTTTCTTATTTTTTTCCTAAAAATGTAAAATATTTTATACAAATATAAACACTTGAACAAATAATTGTAACCAAATTATGTTGGTAAAGTAATACAGTGGGATGGTATACTTACGTGGCAGTGGTACACGTAACCAGGCTCCGCTGTTGGATCAAATTCGTAGGATGCATTTGTATGTAGGTAAGCAAATCTCAAAAGAATCTTGGTCACTGTCCCGTTGCTCATCTTGAATACGTTCTTCCACCCCTTCTCGTACGCTGGCACGTCTATCTTTTTGCCACGTGCATACTTGCTTATATTGCACTTGACGGCGTCGTTTATTTTGTTCATACAGTCTTTGAACTTCTCCACATCCACCAACTCCCTCTGTTCCAATACAACAAACAGTCCCAAGTGGATGTGTAAGGGATGATTGTCCTCCGTTAAATTGATCACGTTCCACACCTCGCTGGTCCCTGCTTTTGCGATCTCAGTCACCGGCGCCTCATATGGTTTCCCATTCAAATAAAGATGTGTCGGCTCATCAATGTCGCTCGTGTACTCGTACATAGCGATATATCGGGTGCGCGACACACTGGATAAATCAGGGACAGGGTAGGAAATTAACCTCTTTGGAATCTGCGACGTGTCAACAGCTGAATGGCTAACGATGAAAAACTTCATGACCTTACTGTTCGCGTCGTTGACAGAGTCACCAGACGGGTAAGGATACGGTGCATCATTGGCTAGGATAGCATTGTCGTTCTTTGACTTTGAAAAGTCAACCACCACGTCTGTGATCTCAGATGGCCCCAGTAAAATGTCATTGCTCTCAACCGGTTCCCCAAGATAAGCCGAATCAGAACCCACGTGGGTAAATCTCAAACCGTTGGTGAAGAAGAACCTGAAGAATCTCGCATTGCTAGCGTTGATAATTCGAAACCTGTATTTACGGCGTCGTACCGTAAGCCGGGGCCATGCCTTTCCATTCACAATAATTGCATCCCCAAAATATTCGGGCTGCCATTGTGGGTGTATGGAGGGATTGTTTCCCGTGGAATTCATGTATATGGAACCATCGGTACGAAAGCTACGATCGAACACAATCAACGAACGATCGAATTCATCACGGGGCAGACCAAGTGGGCCCTCAACTTGAGGATGGCGAATAATGTAGGCCCCAATCAAGCCAGCGAGGAGGTTGACTCGAGTCAAGCCCATGGCATGATCATGGTACCATAGATTGCCAGGATGTTGCTGATTGCGGTAGTGATATTTACGGTTGGACCAAAGTGAGCCACGGGCTTCAAATCGAGCGGTAAACCATGCGTTTGCGTTTCCATCACTCGCGGGTTCATCGATGGCACCGTGTACGTGCACCACAGTAGGAACGCCCTTGTTAGTGGCAGCTCGGGCCGTTGGAATGGTTGGGTCCCAAGGCAGAATGTGCTTTGAAGGGAGGCGATTGATCCACGTCACGTAGGTATCAATTCCGTGGAGGGCCTCAATTGTTGGACCAGGCACTGTTGCTGTTCTCCAACGTGTGCCATAGGCGAACACTGGCGTTGGGGGAAGGTCTCTGTGGAATTTCTGCAAAGAGACGGAGAAAATGACAACCTCTGATTACAAAAGCAAAAATTAAAAAAAGGCTTGGGCAACGAATGGGTTAAAAAATTAGATAAAATAAGGTCAAGACGACCAAAGTGTGACATTGGAATAAATGTTGCGGTCTGATTAATTAATTTAGGGGTTGCTTTACAACTGTGGATACGGAACTGAGTTGGTAACCTTAAAAGTATTAAAAATAAATCAAATATATTTATATTTGTAGGTAAAGTAAAATGG